TTTTAGTTTATCCAGTCTTGAGATAATGCAAAATAGATGCTGACAGACGCGCACAAAATTTTGTAAGATTTTTTTTACATTTTTGCTCTTTGAGTGTAAAAATGTCAAGAATGAAAAACTCAGGTCAAAATTTGATTAATCACCATATTTTCCCTATGTTACATTCTGTAACATCTGGAAAAGTAAAAAAGAATAGAATGTAAACAAAATTGTAAAAACATTATTATTATTGATGAATTTAAATACAATTTTTTTAAGACATTAAATTATTTGCTGCAGCTTAGCATCCTGAATTAAACTATTAAATCAAATTTTGCATTATTGAGAAGGAATGTGTTTTAAGCTTTTAGAAACATTTCAGAAATAGAAAACTTGAATATATAAAATTCAAATACTATGTAATTTTNGGACTTAACATTTATATAAGTCCGAAATGCATATGTGGAAACAATAAAAGAAGTGTCTAACCTGAAAGCTGTAATGATAGTCTACCAAACTTAATGTTGGATTAAAGAGACATATATACATAGAAATAATCCTGCCAAGTTTCAAAAGTTTGGTTTGTGTAATCCTGAGATATAATGTAAAATAGATGCCGATACCACATACACATCTAGACACCTACTCATTTATACACCCCCGCACAAAATTTTGTTTCATAATGGTGATTTTTACATTTTTGGGCTCGTGGTGTGCGAAAACATCAAGAAATGCAAAACCTGGGAATCACAATTTGGCCAATCACCATATGCCAGATTTTATAACAGTTATAGGAAAGTAAAATTATCAAGTAATAATGCAATGTCATTTTGACAGTGTACAATGCTGAATTCATTAGGAGGAAATTCCTTCAGTTGATATTCACCAAAAACTAAAATGTGTATAATGAATTATATAACTGGATTACAGAGATGAATTATATACATAGTGTATAATGAAGTTTGTTTAAGTGTTCTTAGTGCAAGATTGATCTTATGATGGCTTAAACAAAGATGATAAAACCTGTAATAGTTGCTTATGTATGGTCTCAAATGAATCAGCTAAGGACAGATCTAATGCTTTAATTCTATTCTCTAAGTGAAAGTTTATTATAGAAATTGCAGAACATTTTTTAAAATTTGTTATTGTGAAGTGCAAGAGATGGTAGAGTTTCAGATATTACAAAGCTTATTTCTGTTGAGTACCTCAATTTCTGTCAGATGATTGTAAACTTGAACTCATTTTCACACAGTCCATATCTGGTTTCTTTAAATTATCACTTGTTTGGTTTCACAACAAAATAGATGCAATTACAGCATTACAAAAACAATGAAACAGTCATTTAAATTATTTTTTAATTGTGTATATATTCAGACGGTTGAAACAAATTTTTTGCATGGAAAATTTTCAAACTTTTAGAATTGTGACAAATCAGTCAGAATGGGGATTTTGTAATAAAATAAATAAATATGTGTTGATTATACTAAAATGGTATTTTTATTTTTGTTATTACTGAAGTAAAACTAATGTGACAAAAGTTTAGGTACAAACCTTGTAGAGGTAATTTTATAAATAATACAAGATTAATTATTTCTTCTGTTGTGTAGCCTATATGATAATTATTATGAAATGACAAACAGAATGATCATCTTTGAATTTCCAAGAGCATTACTACCTTGCTTACTTGATATTATTCCCTGAAGTTTTATAATTTTGGTATTGATGAGGTAGTTTTAAAGTATAATAGAATATGAAAAAAGTTAATTCTGATGTGCTGTGTTTTGCCTTTGAACATTATTTTTTCATTCAAGAATATAATGTATCAAACTGTTAGTATATTGATCATAATCATGCTAATAAAAGTTCTATTATTATTTAGGACAAAATTATAAAAAATAATACTGCATTTAATAAGCATTAAATTTAATAAATGTTTGAATTCAGTAGCAGAAAATAATAATGTTTTCAGTCTACTGGAACTATATGTATATAATAAAGTAGCATTTCATTACACAAATATTATGGTACACATGCAACACACTACTGCTTAATATTGATACATGAAAAAATAGTAAAATTTACTCTAAGGTATATTTTACTATTATTAAATATTAGCTGGCAAAGCTATAACTTAATTAATGTGCTTTCTTACCACACAAGAGCGAGACTGGATTTTTTAATGATATTTTACTATTATTAGTTCAGGACAACCAAGATAAATTTATCATCAATTATAGTATTAATCCTTATATAAAGAACATAAACACTGTTCTTTTTACATGTTGAATTACTTAAGCAGTACTGTGTTGAATTCTTTCATTATGTACCAAGTTTTTGTCATTTTACATTTTACTTTCCTAGCTGTTATGTATATATAACAAGGGAATGTATTGGAACTGTGTCAAATTTGATCCTGTGAGTTTTTTTGCAAATCTCCACATTTTGAGACCACCTAAACCCAAAAAGGTAAAAGAAAAAAGAAAAGGCAAAAAATATTGTGTGTGTTGGTATCTATTTTGTTTATTATGTCTGGATAGGATAAAGATTAAGAAATGAAATTTGGTACAACAACTTGTGTATAAAGCACATTAATGCTATTAAATTTGGTCGGTGAAAGGTTGAGGGGATGGGAAGATAAGGGGTCATGTCATATCTCAAATGGAGTAGGACTTAATGGAGATTTTAAACATTATTAGCATTTACAAATTTTTATGAAACTAATCATTATCCTCAAAATTATGCTTTTTTATATTTGATAATAATTAAAAATATTGAAAGTTTTTATGATAAAAAATCTCATAACAGGTGGCAAAATTTTATTATATTTTAATAAATCTCAAAACAGTCAGGAAAGTTACACAACTTGTTCCTGGATTTTTAAGATTATGGAGAGGCTGGAGATTTTCCCTGAGCCTAGAGATGACAGAAATCCATAGCAGTCTCTACCCCTATAAATTAATGTTATTTTTACTGACAAAGAATAAAATCTTTAAGGTTACTTTTTATTAATAAGAAACATTCTACATATTTCATTTATTCAAAGAAGAAATGGCAAAAGGAGCCCAGGAGTAGTTTGTGCCTCTTTTGCCATTTGCTATAAAGGCATTTGACATCCCTGAATGTTGAAGATCATTAGTTTAGAATATTATTCGTTTATTATGAAATTTTTTTTGTATATTTTGGAAATATTTTTAAAATTTTGTTTAGTTTACATATTTTAATGACAGTATTGAATAATAATGATTTATTACTTTAATTATTATTTATTATAAATGAACTTTTGTTAGAAAGGTATGTTTTTGTAGTATGTAATAAACTAAACACAATAAAAGTAATAAAGAATTGTTTTCAGAATTATCCACTATATGTCAAGACTATTACACCAACCAACGAGTTGAAGTTTCTGTATACAATCCATACTTCTTTAGATGTCATTGAAGAAAAAATATCTACAGCTAATAAGAATACTGGAGATTTGAGAGAATTATATTTGGGTTTGCTATATCCCACAGAAGATTACAGAGTGTAAGGAGGTTTATTGCATTGAATTCTCTTTAAATAAAAATCAGTAATGAAAGAACAAAAACATAATTTTATTATTAATTTATATTATATTTTTGGGTAAAAATTAATTAAAATTATAATTCATAAGATTATTTTTATTTTCTATTTTGGCTGTAATTTGCTTTATCTGTTTCTTCACAATGTTAATTTTTCATATATAATAAATACGTACTGGAAGTAGAATAAGTTGAAAAATAAACAACACCAATATAAATCCAGCAAAATTTAATAAAATAAAAACGTTTTCAATCGTTTTTCAATGATCATCCTCAGTTACCAAGATAGAAAATTAAATATAGAACATAAAATGTGTTCGAAATAAATACAAAAAATGAAAATTAACGGAAAGCGCCCTGGCGGACGTATTAATGAAAAATTAATAAATAAACCAAATAAATAGTGAAAATTAATAATTGTAGAAGGATCTCCATGCAGTAGATAATGAGTCGGCGTCTCTATGGTTTATACAACCAGTTTTCATCTGCGTTTTATAGATTTCCAATCTCTCTAGATGTTTGATCATTTGCCTATTATTCGTCATTTTTATAATTGTCGCATGATCCCATTGTACGTTAATATCTTGTTGTTTTGTGTATGATGCCAACACAGTGTTATCCAGGTTCCTATTGATTGTATATTTGTGTTCCTTGAGCCTTTGCTTTAGACTGCGCATCATTGCACCCACGTAAACCAGCCTGGAATCAAATCATTGGTCATGTAAAGGCACCGAATATATACCCATTGTTGAATTCCGATCCTCCTCCTTTTTATCATTTCTTAAAAGTTTGAAAATAGTGGGATTGCGCCGGTATACAATGTGAAAGTTATTAGACTTGGCAGTAGATTTGTGTATCTTGTTTAAAAATGGGATGTAATTAAGCACTATTTGTTTATTACGGTCAACCCTGGGAGAATGCCGTGCAGTGGATTGGAAGGATGAAATAAGATCATCTCTATCTCTTTTTTTGGATATCCGTGAAGTTGGGCTATCTTAAGAATGTACTCCAGTTCTCTTATCGTATCGCAAAAACTTGTACAATGCGTATAAGCACGTTTAATCCATGATCTGAAAACTGCTAATTTGATATGCCTGGGATCGACTGATTGGTGTGGGATGATAACAGGTTGAAAGCAGGGTTTACGGTAAATATCAGTCCAAATCTCTCCTTGCTTGCACGTAATGGAAATGTCCAGGAAGTTAACACTGTAGCTACTCTTTTGATCTAGTTGCAACGTTAAACTGTAAGGGTTATTATTGATCTTGTTTATAAAATATTGTAGTTTAGGTTCTTCACGCCAAAGTATGAAAATGTCATCAATATATCTGACGTACAAAACGATTTGCTGTTGGAATTCGGGTAGAACGGCGTTTTCAAGTTGATGCAAAATGTGGCTTCCCAACACTCTTGATTGAAAAGCAGTTAGTCAACTTCTTCCGTGCTAGAGACTGCCTACANCCAGTTTTACTTTCTAATTAATGCAGGTACCAGTAGCCTTATCAGTCTGGCATCTGAAAAGCAAAAGTAACATGTTAAACTGTCATTTAAAAGGTGAGTATCAGACGTTTGAGTCTCTGATTCGAACGAAACATGGTATGCATGTAGCCTTAAACACAAATAGCTCCTCATCCAAATAATAGTGCCATTTTTTCAAGCATTTCCAAAAATTGGGACTCTGATTGATTGGCATTTGAGCTAGATGATGTAGATTCGAACCTTCGGCATTTTAGTTTAGTTTTTTTATGTGTAACATTATTCTTTTACTGCATCATTGACGTTATTATTCCTCTTGTTTAAGCTTATACAACAAGAGATTAACAATTGTGATGTCATTTCCTGTTTACCAAAAAAAGCGCCTATAGATTTAACTTTTACATTGTTAAATAAATTTTCTACATAATTATTTTCAGATATAGTGATATTGTGACATTTTAAGTGTAACAAACATGAGCACATGAGGAAATTGTCCATAATATTAACAATTAAAAAAATAAAACGCTGCAACTATACTAACTTATTTTCATATCACTTGTCTTTTTCATTTATGTGCAGTAACATATGAATCTTATTTGCTTGTGAGGACATAGTATGTAAAATATGTGAAAATAAACGTGAAGAAATAAAAGTTTTATTTTATTATGTAAAAGAGTTAAATTTACAGTGGTTTGTTTTCACTAAACAGCAAATGACATCACAATTTTTAATCTTTTTTTAAAAGCATTAAACATGATGATTAATAACAGTACTAATAATGCTTATGATGTAGTAAAATAATAATGCTACACATAAATAAAACTAAACTAAAACTAAAATTTGGAAGGTTCAAACCTACATTCTATTGGTCCAGTACTTAGCATCTTATTCATTCAGCTATTGCTATTCTGGGGCATATTCCAAAGACTTATAAGTTAAACACTAAATTTTCAGAAGCCCAATTTTTTGACTATTATCTACCCAAGGAGTTGTTTGTTTTTAAGACTACATGCTTACCAAGTTTTATTCAAATCAGAGACTTGAATGTCTGACCCTCCCCTTGTTAGCAACAAGAATCATTTTTTAATAATTTTTTAACGAATGATTCTGAATAACACATTTGATCGCATGTTTAAATAGTGTTTCACAGCTTCTGTCTGGTCAAAATTTAAGTCTACTGAAAAAGATCAAAATGAAAAAAAAAGTCATCCCAACAAACCTCCAGATTTTCTGTCAGTTGATAAAAAAAAAAGTTTAATCTGGAAATGCTGGGTGGCATTGCACAAAACTGCCTTCAGTTCTCCTACTTTTCTGTCTGAACTTGCCATGTGATGTCATGAAATATGCACCATACACCTAGCTATTTCATGACTCAACATTTAGCTGTTTTTACTGAACCTCTGTTCAGTAAAAACAGCTAAATCCTAAAACAGGTTTTTACTGAACCTCTGTTCAGTAAAAACCTACTGTTTTTTACATATTTAGCTCAACATTTCGCTGTTTTTACTGAAGTGTGATTTGTGATTCAATTTCACGCTAAATGTTGAAACAAGCTAACTAGGGTTTCTATCATGTCTTGCAATCACCAATATTATATTTTTAGCCACTTTAATAAAAATATTGCTGCGTGGCAATTTTGGCACTATGCAGGAGTTGCACTGCATAATAAATATATTATGTACAGTATATTCTAATCTATTAATACTCAATTGAAAAACTCAAACTTTAATAACACAAACTATTGAAACTGTTTTATTGGAATTAATGTTTTTGATAAACTTAAATAATATAGCTTATAGTAAATTAATCCCATGAATTTTTGGATATTAAGATCCATTTATCATCAAGGGAATCAATTATCGAAAAATGACAACTTCATTCTTAGAATAAAAAGTCAGTTTAAAGTGAATTTACATTTTATTTTGCGAGAATGACTCTTTAAAATAAAATGTAATTCCATTTTAAAATGATAATGGATATTTATCTTAACAAATTATCGTGATTATTATTGAAAAAATTGTAATATTTTATATAGTTATGGAATGACTAAACAAGATGTCTGCTCTCATAATTTTTGGTAAATTTGGATTTCTTTTGAATGAAGTTTGCCATTCAAATGTTGTAGATTTGGAATATGATGATGATGATAAATTAAATGTAATAATTACAATGTCACAGTTTTAACTTTAAAATTTGCTTATTCAGATAGTTTTTTCCCAATTGAAAAATTATTCCTCATTACTTCTTTAGTTTACAGTAAAGAAATAATGAGGAATAATTATGAAACAGTTTTATTAAAAATTGTGCTATAGCAAAATACTCAAAAAATATAATAAATACTACTGTTTGATACTTATTATGTAACCTATTACTGTAAATGATGAGGGACAAATTGTTTCTTGGGCTAATAAGTTATATTACTGTAGTTGCAGTTTGCTGCATTAGCACTATTAGCAATACTTAGATATTATAGTGATATGTTTCAATTGATGTAATCAATCAAAAAATTTTATTGTTATGAAAATGAAGAGTATTTAAGCTCAAAAAAACTTTTTACCTATTATTCAGATAAATTTCTGATGTGCCACCTAATAATTTGAAGCAGAAATATTACATTAGATTATCTTTAGATCTGACTTGATCATAGAATGAATTTTAATAAATGATTTTGTAGTAGAGAGATGATGATGATGATGAATAATTAAATAATTGGAAAAAAATAGTATGACAGCCTGTTAAAATTTATAAATTATAGTATTCTTTCTGTAATGTTTAACTTATTTAACAAATACAAACTATAATGTGAATTAGGCATGTTAAATGAAATGCCAAATTACTTTTTATCTATTTAAGGTTAAATTCAATTAAACTAGACTAGACAAAATTAAAGAAACAAGTATCACTATCTTGCAATTCTTTACAGCAGTCCCATCTTTTCTGGTTAGGTACAGTAGTCTACAGTAATTTTTCTAATGACCTAAAATCTATGTATTCCAAACACTTTCCATTATAATAATCTAACAAGTTTACTATTGTTATACAGTATTATGTAATAAATTATTTCATTTAAATAACAACAATAATCTTAAAAACATTACATCTATTGCATTTTTTTTAATTTTAAGTTTTAAGTTTTCTGCAGATATTGTTCTTCATAAACAAGTACCTGTACCAGATCATGGATTACACTGAGAAAACAATGCTTTACAAAATTCAGTTACAAAAGTTTCTTTAGTTAGTGCTTTAATTGGCAATGCCTTTTTAGGAGTGTATTTTTGGCTTATAAATTTGGTATAACTAAGCTTGAAATCAATTTAAAATGGCTTTTGATTAACCATTTTAGAATGTATGCATGATGCATTTGCATGAGAGTATATGCTTATATACTGTACTAGCTGTTACCTGCAACTTTGCCCATGCGGATTTTGCAAGCAAACCCCATTTATATTCAGTATTTCAACCACCATAGTAATTGTTATATAACGCCTACTGCTGAGAATCAAACGAACTATTTTCAATTTGATCAATTTTCTGGAACGTTTACAATCATTCTATAATCGAACCAATATGCAATAACAAATTCGAATTTAAAACGGTTCGAACATTTAAAAAATTGAAATATATAAAAATATTTATAACAATGTCTGAAATGTTATCAATTTAATACACCTAAGTACTCAATGAAGACTAAATGTTGTTGAAAACAAAAAATCGCATCTAAAATAGTACAGTAGAAACCATTCTTCCGGTTAAGCCTTAATGCTCTCCTTCTCCCTCCCCACAGGGAAATTTCGAAAAATCCCTTCTTAGTGTATGTTTCCATGGCGTACCCTAACTGTGTACCAAATTTCACCTCTAGGTTCAGCAGTTTGCTCTGGGTAGTGGTGAATCAATCAGTCAGTCAGGACAAGTAATTTTATATATTTAGATAAACAGGAAATGCTACAAAATAAATAAAAGTATTTTGATTAAAAAGGAATTTAAAAATTGTAACTTAAAGTTTAATATTTTACTTGAAAAATTTTTTTTTGTGTTTTAATTAGTGATGTAACGAATATTCGGTTACTATTCGGTATTCGGCCTATTTTTCGCTATTCGGCCGAATACCGAATACCTAAAAACAGGAGTAAGAAATAACAAAATCACAGTAAATTAATCATTCTGGTATTTAGATTTAATGTTATCGGGTTAGTGTTGCTTGATTATATTTATTTATAACTTATAACATGCACAAAATAAAAAAGAAAATACAGTAGAGCATCGATTATCCGAATCAATTGGGGACGGGTTGGTCGGATAACTGAAAAAAATGGATAACCGAAAAATATGAAAAATACATTATTAGTATAGTATATTAGTATATCTCATGTAATTAGTATATTAGTGTATCGCTATTAACTACTTTGCGTTGAATTTTCATCGATGTTAAGCCTAACAAAAATTTTTTAAAAAATAATAATCGTCGCTATTGTATCGTTAAAAATTAGAAAATTAAGCCTCGTTTAAATACTGGCTCCCTTTCATGGTCGAGCCAGTGTTGCCAGCTAATACATGTAAAAATAATATTAAAGTAGCCAAGACATAGCCAAATATTGTAGCGCCACATCACTAGCGGACATTTGAATTTGGCGACTAGAACGGTCGGTTAACCGAGGTGACGGATAATCGATGCTCTACTGTAATATTAGTCACATGTATTCACAATTTATAATTACAAAGATCAGCATATGTACACACCTATTCATTCGAGAATCGTCGCACATCTGAGGTCTGACCCTGCCTATCCTTCTTTTTAAGCGCTCGTCTTTGCTCTTCCCTTTGTCTTTCCTCTATCACTCTAGTCCACGTATGCCTATGCATACATCATAATACGCGCTGACGATTCTTTCGATTTGTTACTTTTCCGTCATAGATTTCCCATTTTACAATTACGTTACTCATAGCCTGGTGATAACGGAGAAAAGAAACAGATAGGACGTTGGTATAACTCACAATTATGATTTCATAGATTCGAGACAGCTTGGTAGCCCGAACGGCCCCAGGCTTTCGCCCGTGCACGCTAAGTGACTTTCATTACAAGCATTTAGCTTTCCGAAGTCTATGACCAGGGCCGGATCATCGCATAGACAAATGAGACAAATGTCTAATGCCCGGTTTTTAGAAGGNAATTCTATCCCGGGATTTCCCGGGATCCCGGGAAACAGTTCACTTTTATCCCGGGATCCCGGGACAAGCAAAATACCGGGAAATGAGAAACCCTAGTGTGAACCGAGTATAACTCACAAAACATAACAATAATAATAATAAGATTAAGCGTAGAGCCCAAACAATTAAGAGTTGAAATTTAAAATTTAGTACACAGTTGGGATTCATCATGAGAATGTAGACAAAGAACAGACTTTTCGAAATTTTCCCCTGCGTTGGAGAGGGAGAAAGTAAAAATTACCCTGAATTCAGATTTTTACTGTACTATTTTAAATGCGTTTTTTGCGAGAAATTGAACATTTTTTACACCCATCTAAGAATTCTCTAATTATTTTCGGAAGAGAGTAAATTTAATTTTTGCACCTCGTAAAAACCGGTAAGTTCGGCTATAATCTAATACTGTAATCTTAATTTTCCTTATCGTTAGTTTTTGCCCGAGCAACGCCGGGCACATCTGCTAGTATGTTTAATAATTTTGATACATTTAATATATTCTTAAGCATGTCCTGAAGCATCAGCTCTTATTTACAGATGCCTGATAGCACCGAATAAGAACTGGTGCATGTTTTGTAATAAATAAAGTAATTTTTTACCATTCGCCTGAAAAGTTCCTATAAAATAAGTTCGTCATAAGAAGAAATTTATTTTAAATCAAAACAACGAAAATTACAGGGGCTCACCACTGGCCAACTGGTTCCGTTTCCTAAACACTAGGAGTTCGGTCGTGGGTTTCCGCCTCGCCAGAAAGGGCCACGCTATGTTTTCCGAGTTTTCACCACGTCTGTAACGCCTGAATAGAGGAGTTACGCTTAAAAAGACCACCCAAAAAGCATCCCCCTAGAAAGTTCGCCTAACTGTTGAGTTGGTATAACATAACTAAACTAAACAGACGAAAACGATACAATAAGAAACTGTAAAAACAAAGATTATTTAATACAATTTACTAGACAAATAAGCCCGTGAACGAAATATTTGTTCAATAGCAATAATTAATTACTTACTAGTAATTACTATCACGAAATTAATATATTTAGCTAATCTTTACCAATGCAAGTTATAATTAATTTTTAATAAAAATATGAAATTTTATAATTATTTTTCACTAAAGACCTAAAAAATAGCTACGTTCCGAGATAGTCTACTTGATTCTTCACAAAGTATTTTTGAAAATTATAAATTCCGTTAAATAATGTATATAAAATAGTATTTACACAATTTTCTTTCTTTAGATGTTGTCTTCAGCTTTAAAACATGAATGTTTTTTATCATACTCATAACATGTTTTTAAAAACTCGCACAAAATGAAATCAAACTCCACAATTAAATGTTTTCTAAATACAATAGATAATTTTTACTCCTGCAGATACCAGGTGGTGCTGGATTACCAGCTGCTGTGTGCTTCTGATTTGTTTACAAATGCTCTTTAAATGGTCTGAAAAAAATATAGTGATTTTCTAAAAGGTTTTTAAGATTGATTGAAAAACATACAAAAACGTTAATGAACACGATATCGCACGAAGTCGTCATCTCGATTGTTAGTGTCTCTGCTTACAATGCAGTTTTGTTAATTAAATAAGCATAGATCTTGCGTGTGTTTTTAAGAAAATGTTATATTAAAAGTTGTAAGAATAATGTCGATTACGGAGCCTTAGACGAAAATAAACAATAACATTGATGATTTAAGGCCGATGCATATGGCCGGCAAAATTAAGGTGACATTAAACGTCGACTACAGGTTCAATTTTTTAAAATAACTTTTTGTCGATGAAAATGCAAGAAGTACTGTACTGTACTTACAATGAATTCAAGTAATGATTTAGAATAACATTCGCAATTAAATAAATATTTAGAGAACATATACAAAAGATAGTTAAAGCCTTTGCAAATTGTCATGGTATCTTCTACAAATGTTCACGTTCCATTTTTTTTGCTAACTTTCAATTACTTACCCATCTTGTCTATGGCCGCTCTTACTGTTTTTGATAAAGTTTTACAAGAATTAAATAAAATTCATACATAACTGAACGAAATTATGATTACCTACACTAATTTACCGAACGTTATTAGGAATAGACTAGGTCTTTCGATTCCCAATGAACGGATCAAATATTTTGATCGTTTACTACTTTTTGAATATTTTAACGGCTTTACTTTATCTCATTTGCTAAACCTGAAAGTACCGTTGAGAAAGAACTGTGGTTTATTATGTATTTATGATCATTTATTTCATTGAAATATTTTTCATAGATCTTTCTTTTATCGCGTTTCTAACAATATAAATAGTATTGAATATATCGAAAGTTTCACGTTGAATAATCGCAATACAAAATATACTGTAAACTTATACTTTATAAATTTTGAATTTTTTATATTTATTGTTGTTTCTGTTGTTTTTAGTGTATTTCCATGCTGTTCATTTTCTATTAAAAGTTTTATATAAATGCAGAAAGAAAATTTGTTGTCAAATGGCATTTTTTTCGTGTAAATAAAATAAATAAATAAATATTTCTTTCGTATTCATTTTATTAATTTTAATACAAACAAATTGAATTAAAATACAAATTTAATAATTTGTTAATTTCAATGCATAATGAGTAAATTTTGATTAAAATATTTTAATATTCAATTGGAGATAGAATTTAAACATTTTCACAGCAAGAATTTGTATTTTAATTTGAATGTGCTAACAAATAGCAATTTAAAAAAACTTGATTATAATGATTTAAATATATAATGTTTTATCGGTGAATATTTTAAATTATTTTTATTTTTATTTCAGATTAGCACGAATTCTGTTCTATTTAAATTACAATTATTACTTGAGCTAAATACATTTTTCATAAGTAACTTAATATACATTACAATGTACAAGTCTGGACAGCTGTATTGCTGCGGTAATTAATTTTTCTTTTTATATTCCTGATAATTTTTCTATTGTTTTGCGTTATTTTAAACTTAACGGAGAAATATGGAAAAAGATGGAAAATTTGGTTTTGTAATTGTTGACGAGGACAGAAGAATTAACGAAGTTACTAATAAATTATATTATTCGTTCGAGGAATGTTTGGAAGTTATGGACGAAGTTTATGTTGAAAAAAAAATAAAAAAAATATATATTAATATTTAGAGAGATAAATTGTGGATCAAAGCATTATAAATTTAGTAATGTTATTAAATCGATTGATATGTATTTCAAGTATCTGTGTAACTGTATAATCGTTGGACCGTCGCAATGTTGAAAAACTACGCTAGTAAGAAAA